TGGGTACCTGATGTTCTCCCCGGGCATGTCATCATGGCTGTGGACAGCATAGTCACTCTGAAAGCATCCCTGTTTGATAATCAGTGGTCACTCCTGTGTCCGAAACGCTCTCCTCACTGAGACTGCAGCTCACCTTTGTAGTTCTTGCTGTGCTGGCTGACCTGCTGAGGCCCTGGCGTGATCACCATGGGGTAGCCATCCCTGCTCAGAATTCTGTCCACAGGTGTGTGCTATGCATGTGCTGAAAATAGATGGTGATTCTGTTTCTTACTCAGAGGAATGATTTCAGGATAGTTTTTACTTTGTGATGTTCCATCGTAAGGCTAACTTATAAATCAGAAACTACTGGGTTGACACTTTGTCAAATAAGCCACATTCTCTGCATTGTATGGCTATAGGATTTTTAAAAAAAAAAAGATTTATTATTTATGCACACGAGAACTGGGGTATAGGCCAGAGGTGCGGATGGTGGGGTGAGAGGATTCACCAGAGACAGTGGGGAGTAGAACAAGTGGATATACTAAAATCCACTGCTGTGGGAAGCAGCGGACAGGAGAGGTCTGCTGCGCCATGGTCAGCTCCCTAGCCAGAGATCTCTAACTCATGCTGCAGTGACTGGTGATAGCTTGATAATGCTGAGACTTAACCCCTGTGCCACCAGGGAGACCTGAGGATGTTTTTAACAGAAACATTTTCTTGACCATAAGGTGGTCTTTATTAGATTTATTTATTTTTAAAAGATATTTATGTAAGCATTGGGGTACAGGCCAGAGGCTCTGGAGGGTGGGCGAATTCACCAGAAACAGAGCAGGGAGCAGAACAGGCAGAAGGACCAAAGTACACTGCTAAGGGGAGCAGTTGGTGCGACAGAAGTCTGCCTCTCCATGTGGGAATCTCCCTGGCGGCCAGGAATCAAACCGGCCCTACAGAGACTGCCAACAGCTTCATAGCGCTGTGCTCAACCCGCTGCGCCACCGGGGAGGCCCTCTTTATTAAATTTAACATGGAACATCCACGTGCATGTTGGGAGTAGAACCTCTGTAGCCATTTTCTCTCCCTTAATTGTCTCACCTAAAGGTAGACTTTGGTTGTTTACAGGATATCAGATTTTTTGTTATTAATTAAAAACTTAGACTCCGTGATGACACACAGGCCACGTCAGTAGAGTTTCTCCTTAGAATAGTGGTGTGGGGGGCTCTGAAATCCCCCAGCTTGGCTTTCACACTCTATCACCATTGGCACACCACGTCTTGCCTGCCTCAACATGAGCCTGGCCCTTTGTGCCAACAGCAAAACCCGCAGCTTGGGACTGCAGAAACTGCTTGTGTCTGGGATCACTGTCAGGGCTTGCTAATTTTCTTAGAGCCAGTCAGAGCAAGGAAATTCCTAGAAGAGTTTCCCACAACAGAAAAATAAGAATCTTGGGCTACTGCAGCTTGGAACTGTTCCGCTATGCAGGCTGCAGCTGTACCTTTGGGCCCCCCTTACAAGGCTGCTTCGACCTTTCCATCCAGTCCAGTGACTGACAGACAGGAGAGCACCTCTACCTGCATGGCAGCCAGCACTCACCCTGTTTGAATCCCCACTGGAATCATAGGCTGCATGACATGCTTGGTGTTTCTGTTCCCTTGCGGATGTTTTCAGCCAGTTATTGAAAGTGAGACATTGAAGTCTTAGGACTCTGGCAGATTGCCTGTCTTTGCCTTACATTTTTGTTTCTTGATTTTAATTGTTAGTTGCGTACTTGTTTCATCATTATTCTATCTTCTTGGTGGAGTGACCCTTTCATGGATATAAAATTGTTCATCTGATCTTTAATATATTTGTTCTAGTCTGTTCTGGACCATAAATAGTATAGTCACCTGTCCTGTGGCATCTGTTTTCAGGTGTTTTTTTGTCTTTTTCTTTCAATCTGTTTATATCTAAGGTGTGTCTTTTAGAAACAGCATAGAGTTAACTAGCTTTTTAATTTAAATCTAGCCTGACATCCTCTGTTGTGGGTTGTTCTGTCCATTCAAAATCATTGTTACTGCATTTATGTCTGTTGTTCTTTACTTGTTTTCTATTCTTTTGTTTCTCTTTTTTACTTTTGCATTAAGTGAATTTCTTCATGTTTTAATTTCGATTTTTGCACTAGGTATTTTTTTTTTTTTTTTTAATTTTTTTTATTTTTTAAATTTCGCAAACGCCCCATTCTTCCTGCACTAGGTATTTTTTATTTATTTCATGGAAGCACTCATTTTTAAAAAAAGATTTATTTTTGTTTATGCATACAAGAACTGGGGTGTAGGCCAGAGGTGCAGGGGGTGAGGGGATTCGTGAGACAGAGTAGGGAGCAAAACAGGAGGATCTACTGAAATCCACTGCTGAGGGGAGCAGTGGGTGAGATGGGAGAGGTCTGCTGCGCCAAGTGGGTCAGCTCCCTGGCTGGGGATCGAACTCAGGCTGCATTAGCTGGAGATAGCTTGATAGTGCTGACTTTAATCCCTGCACCACCAGGGGGGCCCAAGCACTAATTATTTTAAAACTCTTTGTGCTTGACCTGGACCTGGTGGGAACAGGCTGCTACTGGGAACAAAGGGAAAGGGAGCAGGATTTTAAAAAAACACAAGTCCACTATCTCTAATGCAGAGCACATGTCCATGGATGTGTGTTTTGTAGATTTGGTGATGAGATGATGGATGTTGGCATTTTTCCCCTCCTGAAAGATAAACGGCTGAGCTGGGAGGGGGTGTGTGTGAGTTCAGGTTACCAGGGACCAAAGATGAGGCAAAAGGCCTATGAAGGGGAAAGTAAAGTCACTTCCAATAGACATTAAGTTCCAGTCAAATGAAGTACAGTTGCTACTCACTGTGGAATCTGATGTCTGTGTTCATGAAGTAAAATCTGTCCATGTTATTTTTTTTTAACCCCCAGAAAACTCTTGACGTGCAGAGAAGATTCTAAGAGCCACTGGTGTTGGGGCTTGTGAGGTGAGTGCAACTGGTGCCCAGGTGAGGGGTACCAAGGGGGTGGGCTAGAGATTTGGGGGCCAAAGAGTTTGTTTCTGCAGGAGAAATTAAAATGATGGGGCGTACATGTCTTGTCCCTCTTTCTCTGACAGTTTACCTTTTTTTTTAAAAAGATTTTTATTTATGCATGCATACAAGAACTGGGGTGTAGGCCAGAGGTGCTGGGAGTGAGAGGATTCACCAGAGACAGAGTGGAGAGCAGAACAGGTGGATTGACTGAAATCCACTACTATGGGGAGCAGCGGGCGAGACAGGAGAGGTCTGCTGTACCATGTGGGTCAGCTCCCTGGCTGGGCAGTGAATTCAGGCCACAGTGGTGATAGCTTGATAGCACTGAGACTCAACCCCACTGAGAGACCGATCTGACGGTCTACTCTTACATGGTCTAAAAATACAGTCAGGACCAAAGTGAGAAGTGTTTCCTCCCTCTAATTTAGGTCATTTAGGGATGCCTTTCTAGGCTTGTTTTCTTCTGTGCCAGTAAAGGAGAGAAAGGAAAAGAAATAACTCCTTATTACTCACTTTAGTCCCACTTGTGAACTCTCTCAGCCCTGCTAGTGCCCCCTGACAAAATGACCACAGGGGCTTTAACAGCACGTTGATTTCTCAGTTCTAGAGTCCAAGTTCAAGGAGTTGATTTCTCCTGGGGCCTCTCTCCTTGGGTAGCAGCCAGCTCCCTTCCCTGAGCCCCACAGGCCCATCCTTCATGCAGACGCTGTCTCTCTCCTGAGCACCTCAGCCCTGTGGGTGTAGGGCAGACCCTGTGAACTCACTTAGCAACCTTAATTAGTCACGACTAACTCTTCAACTGTGTGCTTTTTACTGTGTGTGCGACTTCTACCTCATCAGTCACATGGAAGAGCGTTATAAGGTACTTTGAACAGCTTTGTCTTATCAGTCTAAAGTTACAAGGAACTTTCTGGGGAGAGGCCATGTGAGAAATGTACACAGCTTTTAATTTGGGGCCTGTTTAATTTAATCCAACAAACTTTCTTTGACCTTATTGTACTTCTGTGAGCGAATCTACTATGACTCCCCATTCTATCCTCCCACCTCCTAATTAAGAGTGTACATTTTCCATATGTATGGAGTTTGTGTCTTTGTTATACTGGCCTTTTTTTTTTTTTTTTTTAATTTATTTATACAAGCACTGGGTACAGTCAGAAGTGCGGGACGGTGAGAGAATTCACCAGAGCCAAGCAGGGAACAGAACAGGCAGAAGGACCGAGGTACACCGTTGAGAGGAGCAGCGGGCGGCAGGAGAGGTCTGCGCGCATGTGGGACCCTCGCCCGTTGGCGGGGGATCAAACTGGCGCTGCAGAGGCCGCGGGCAGCTTCGCAGCCCAGCGCTCAACCACTGCGCCACTGGGGAGGCCCTATCCTGGCCTTTTTTGCATTTCCATGTAAATTTTAGAATCAGTTTGTAAATTGCGGCCTATAAATCTGTTGGTATTTTCACTGGGATTACATTGAATCAATAGATTAATACTGATAATTGCTCTCTTTTAACAGTGCTTTCAAGTATTTGAACATGGTATTCTCACATATCTTTGAGTTTCTAAGTAGTTGATTTTCTATGATATTGGAAATGGTATTTTCTTCCTAATTGCCAGTCTAGTCATGTATATTGACTTAGTCTTAAGTAATTTATAATTTAATAGCTATAAAAGATACGTAAATTACTTTAGATTTTCTACATAACTTATATGAATAGTCAGTTTTATGATTTCCTGCCCAGTTCTTAACCTTGCTAGGATTTCCAGTACAGTGATGAGTAGATGGGAGTAATAGTGGCATCTTTGTCTTAGTGTCTAAAGTTTCATAAATGAACGAAATTTCTTTATTCTGAGCTTGGTATATAGATGTTCTTGTCATGAATAGACAATTTTATCAAGAGTTCTTGCATTTATCGAAATTTTTTTTAAATTAGCATAATTTAACTTTTAAATGATACTTTCTGTATTCCTAAAATAAATCCAGAGTGGCTGTGATGTGTTAGCTGTTTCCTACATCACTCTATTTGGTATCACACTAGATACTGGTTAAGAATTTTAGCATCCTTGTTTCTGAGAGACCGGGCTCTTAACTTTTCTTCTTGCAGCTTTAAATGTAATGACGTCCTCAATAAAGAAACTGAAGTATCCCCTCTTCTTGTCCTTTAAAAGAGCTTGTATTAGATGATTGATATTGGTTGTGGGTTTTTTCCGTAAGTGATTAAAGAATACTTCAGTTGTAAGAGGAACAGAGAGCTGTGATTTCCAAACTCATGGCTAGCATTTACAGCCAACTTGATGCTAGAAGGTGGAACATTCCAGACTCCACCAACTGATATCTTTACTGGAGGACCATTGGGAAGTAGGGGTGGAGCTAGGGTTTTGACAGTTGAACTGCTGGGGCTCTGACAGTTGAACAGCTGGGAGCTTTGGCAGTTGAACTACTGGGGCTTTGGCAGTTGAACTGTTAGGGGCTTTGGCAGTTGAACTGCTGGTACTTTGGTGCAGGTGAGGATGGGTGTCCTTGGAGAAGCCACCATCTTGCCACATGCAGCTTCATCTTGGACCTGTCTCTGCTCAGTGGATGACACCTGGGGCAGGTAGATAGCATCTGGCCATGTGCCAGCCTGTAAATTCCCTCTCAACTCTCCCTTTTCCCCTGTGTGAATAAAGCCTGTTATTGTTCTTTCTCACCATGTGTCTGCTTTTGGGTCATGTCCTGTGTTCTTAAAGCTTGTGGGTTATGACCCATAACCCAGTCAACCCCAGTCTCCTGGGTTTGCTCCATTTTGTTCCAGGTATAGGGCCATGGAGTTTTTTTGTACATAAATATTTAATTGTAGGTGTGTTTTCTTTAGAGGGATTCGGTGTTCTTACAATGTTAGACTTACAATGTTAGGTGTGTTTTCAAAGGACTTTCTCCATTTCACTTGAAGTTTAAATGTATTTGGGGTAAAGTCACTCAAAACTAATAGTAATCACTTAAATGTCTAGGATCTTTTTCCAATATTGTGTTTTTCTTTTTATTTATATTTCAGAGGCTAACTGATTTTTATTAATTGCTTTTGAAGAAGCAATTTGTTGAGTCTCTCTTTTTGTATGTGTTTTAATTTCACTGTCTGAATTTCTTTTCCTTGGATATTAACCGATTGTGAGTCTCATTTGGAGTGCTGAATGCAGAGATTGTTTTCGAGCCTTCTTTTTAAATAAATCTATTTAATGCTCTCTGTTACCCCACAGTCTTACGTAAACATGGGATTGGTAACTTGTAATGGATTGCATTGGGTGATCCTGAATTCACAGGCTGCAGCCCTAACCTCTGGTAGAGCCCTAACCTTAAGTGGGGGAAGAGATGTCCTTCCTGTCTCTCTCTCAGCTTGAAAGTAAAGTGCATTCTTCTTATTGCTCCATTATTTGGCAGTTGTCTAGTTATCTTTTTTCCTATACTTTCTAGATTAATTCCTCTGTGAATCAATCTGAATTATTTAACTCTTTGGAATGTGCTTATGGCTTGGCCACATGGTCAGTATTGGTAAAGCTTCCATGTATATTTGGGAAGAAAGTGTACCCTGCAGTTGTTGGGAGTGCTGTTAATATATGTTAAATCAGATTGGTTTGGTTTTGTTTAAATCTTTCTCCTGTGTTTATTATGGTTATGAATCTGTCCAGTTTTAGATGTGTGAGGATACCTTTGGTGAATGTAAATGATTTCAGCGTTTTTGGATGGCAGTTTGACACTCTTGATGACATTAATTTTGTCTTTTGACACATTGACTTTATATCAAGGAATTTCCAGAAACATTTTACACAAATGCAAAAGCATACAGGAATGCTTAGTAGTAGGGTAGTTTGCAAGAGCACAAACTAAAATGGTGAAATCTATTAAATTAATAAATCATTGGGTTGGTTAAATAGTGATAAATCCATAAAGTCAAATGTGTTGCTCACGCCGAGGTAGGTGTATGTGTAGTGAGGTCATATCTCCTAGATGAGGTAATAAAAGTACAGGAAGAAAAAGTCGTGATGACCAGGCAGACTGGATGGTGTGTTTGTAGGATTCCATCTGCTTTGAAAAATGAGGTTTTATTTATGTGTTAGTGGTTTCTTATGTAGAGGAATTTGGCAAAAGACAAGGTAATGATTCTGGGAGTTTGACCCTGGGATTGGACAGTGAGGGCTTTTTTTCACTTATGTTTGAATGTTTTTTATAATTAGCAGAAGTTATGAAGAATAAAGACCTAGTTAAAATAAGCAAAAGCAGAAAATAATTGCTGCTTAAATGTGACAAATAAAATACTAATTGAATTGTGTAGAATGAATCCTCTTAAACATTCCAGAAATCTTACTGATATTTGCCATTTTTATGGTTGCTTCCTCCTTGAATTTTCCTCTTGCCCACATTAAAGGTGAGATTTTGGGGCCTCCCCATTGGCGCAGCGGTTGAGCGCTGGGTTGCGAAGCTGCCCACGGCCTCTGCAGCGCCGGTTCGATCCCCGGCTGCTCCCCAGCCCCCAGAGGAGGGTCCCACATGGCGCGCAGACCTCTCCTGCCGCACGCAGTGTACTTCAGTCCTTCTGCCTGCTCTGCTCCCTGCTCTGGCTCTGGTGAATTCTCTCACCCTCCCGCACTTCTGACTGTACCCAGTGCTTGTATAAACAAAACAAACAAACAAATAAATAAATAAAACATGCCTCTATTTAAAAAAAAAGGTGAGATTTTGTCTAGTCTGAGTTCCCAGGATTTACGATTGACATAGACAGTTTTGGTGTCTAGTTTTCTTAGCTTTTCTATCCACACAGAACAGCTTTTTATTTAAACAGAAAATCTTTCTTTCCTACAGATTCCTGATATCCAGAACAACTGACTGTTAATACACTGCTACTAATTCCTCTTGACCATGAGTTGGAATATAAAACCAGGACAAGCTACCTTGCGACCCGCATATCGTAAGAAACAGTCGTCATCTTTTTTGGAGCAAGCTTTAAGACCCACACTGAACACAACACCTCAGAGTTCTTTAAACTATCCTGGAAGTAACCAAGATGCTTGTATGTTTCTCAGTAATTCAAATCCAGTTTCACAGCCACAGGTCAATATCAGAAATTATAAAACTCAACAGATGCCTCTTTCTAATATGCATAGTGAGGCAGTTATGACCTCACAAACTTCAGTGGAAAGAATAACATATACAAATGTTAAAGGACACAAACAACTCGATCACAACTTCCAAATGTCTCCTGGACTTCCACAAAATGTCTGGTTAAACTCATCATCGAGGAATTCTATGCTTTCTCACACAGGCACTGCTGTAACCCATCAAACTAGCTTTGGAACCAGTACCCCCAGTTTGCATGCACTGCCAAATCAGTACGTCACCTCTGACACCTATTCTGTGCAACTTCAAATGGTCCCTTCTAACTCTGTAAGAGTTCCTGTAACTTATCAAGGAATTCCAAGACTTAACCCGTCTTTATTGCCCCAGGGTGATTGGGCCCAGCAGCATGCAGCCAGTGGATTGACTTACCCAGAACACAGGCCACTTCCACAGCAGTACACTTATTCATCACGAAGCTGTTTGCAAGATCCTGCTCATCAAAAACAAAACTCTGTGTCATCGACATCATTGCAAGTTAAAAATAGTCATCCTCCAAATTCTGCACTGACTTATGAGCCAAAGCCCATAGCACCTGCACCATCATACCCATATGCAGCTACTCAAGCTAACAAAAGACCCCCTCCTCCTTACGAATGCAGTTTCCCAAGACAGCCTTTGCAAAGTCCTCAGCCTGTGGTTAAACACTCTACCATGGACATGCCTCAGAGCCAGGAAACACACTCACCTGAACTGAGGAAAGACTTTGGTAGGGGCTTTCAACAGCAGTGGCAAAACTTTAATGAAAATGTCAGCACGCTTGGAAATTTTTGTGACTTGGAAGTGCGTGCCAACGTCAGCCAGCCTTACGGCGAACCCGTTGGATCTTCTGTGCCTGGTGCCCAGAGTCTCACTCAAAACAATCAAGAGAAAAGAATGGATTCTTGTAGCCTACCTTCAACTCAAGTGCTGGACACAAGTGCCACAAAAGAAAAACTAGTTAGGGATATTAAAACATTAGTAGAAATAAAAAAGAAGTTTTCAGAACTTGCAAGGAAAATTAAAATTAATAAAGACCTTCTGATGGCAGCAGGTTGTATTAAAACAACTAATCCCCCTTACAGTGACTCAGCTCAACATTCTGAGTTAACTCTTAAAAAAACTGCCAAAAGTCAGTCTGCACCACAGGTAACTCAAGTCACAGCAGAGATGGTACAGGATAAGCCACCAACTGTGATGGAATCTGCAGAACAAAACAATAGAGCACACCATACTTCGAATTCCAACACCAGTTGTAAAAAGTTTAACCGAGTTTTTCTCAATCCTCTCTGTATGGAAAAATTGCTAGTGCCAGGCCACTTTCAGGACTTGCAAGGTCTGATTTCCTTAAAGACAGCAACTGTTCCAGTCACCCCTGAAACATCAAGCAACAGCCAATTTTCACCAGGAAACTCTGTCAATACTGAGCAAAATGCACCAAAAAATTTTGAAGCCACTTTTCTTCCTCATTCTACTCTTTGTCCATCCTTTGAGGAATCTGTTGAAAAATATCGAAGTAAACATCCTCTAATACTCAGTTTACTTGAAGCTGGAAATAATACAACTCAGCAGAAATTAGTAAATGATGATTATAAAATACTTCAGGATACTAACCTACATAGTACTGAAATAACTCCAAATACCCAAGTCACTGGTAACCAACTGAATTTAAAAACCATGGAAACTCCAGGTCCTTGTAGTGTAAATGCTAAGATTTCAGACAACCTTTCTCTTGAGCATAAATCCTCAGCAACCGGAATGTCTTCTCAAAGTGAAGGTCAGTGTCCCATGGAATTGCTAGCAACATGTCTTTCTCTATGGAAAAAGCAGCCTTCAGAGCCCACAGAAGAGAAACAGCATTGTGACTCAAGGGCACAGAGAACAGCCACTGGAATGTCAAAGGCTGTAGAAATCTGTGATAAGAGTCCAATGCCAGTTGCGGGAAATACTGAGACTAAGATGGTGAATAGCTTGCAAGAAACAACATTGTCGACAGCAGTACAGAACTATGAGTCATCAAGTGTAACTGTGACAAAGGGCACAGAGCTTCAGATTGCTGTAGTGTCACCCTTAATTCTGTCAGATGTCAAAACATTGCCTGTCAAAGAAATGGCACCTGGGGCTTTACCTGAAGCAGTGTATCCTGTTATTAAGGAAGGCAGTGTTTGTAGCTTACAAAATAAGTTGGCAGAAGATAGGCAAGATACTGCTACTTTGAACGTTAATGACCAAGTAGCAAGTACTATACCAAGCTCCAAAATTTTCCCAGTGATTCAGAACGAAAAGCAAATGGAATCAGCAAATGTTACTTCAGAAGATATACCTAATCCAGATCAGTGGAAGTACATAAAAGCAGAACCAGACAGCCACTATCAGGTGACTAGTGCACTCCCCTCCCTCGGGTCAAGAGGTTGGGATGTCTTACAGATAGACAGCATCTGTTCTCTCGTAGAAGGCGACATATCTTACAATTCCCAAATTGCGAAGATATTCAGCATGCCCCCTTTGCAAAAGGTTGAGCCACAGAAACCCCTACCTAGTCACCAAGTAGTTAATGGTAGACAACAGAAAGAACAACTAGATGACATCATAGAGAAAAAAGACTTTGGTTTTCAAAAGGGCAATTTTGAACAGGGCACAGGTGTTTCACATGAAATAACAGATGAGTCCAAGTCACCCCATCCTCCTGAATCATCCTCTTTAAAACATGTTGAAACAAACAGTGGAATTCTAGAGCAAGGCAGTTTAGGCCACATCACTAGTGAGGACACTGGTGGCCATGCGTGTCCCTCAGCTATTCCTCAGCAGGGTGGTCACCCTCAGGAGACGGACATGCCCTGCGACAACACTGCCCAGGATCCAGTGGGCAGCGGGATTCTCGATGAGAGCACCTCTGTCTCATACCTGCATGACCAGCTGTCGGAACTTTTAAAAGAGTTTCCTTTTGGTATTGAAGCTAGGAATACATGTGAGGATTCTGTGCCCCAAGTGAAAAAGGATGAAGTCTCCAAAGATCAAGCTTGTGAGAAAATTGCTTGTGACTCCAAAGACTCAGCAGACCAAATACAAATTACACTTTTAAGTTCAGAGCAAATGAGAGAACTATTTCCCGAACAGGACGATCAGCCTCATGAGGCAAAAAAAGTCACAGAATCTCAAAAAGAGGTGCCTGCCCCCAAAGAAGGAAGCCAGACTGTCCCACAAGCCCATAGTGGGGATGGAGACAATTCTGATTGTGTAATAGTGGATCTTGAGAAAGATGACGTCCGCTGCTGTGCACTGGGGTGGCTCTCGGGGGTTTACAAAGGAATTCCTGGATGCCAGTGTCATTCCATAAAGGACGAAACTTCAGCTAGAGAAAAAGAGAAAACTTGGTGTTCTTTGGAGACAAAGGACGGTAAACCAGGAGACAGAACCTCTGATCAAGCTATCCCTGTTGAAGCTAATGATCCTCCAGATAACAATCAGAGGATTTCTCTTTCTTTTCCAGACAGGAAAAACAGTCTGTCTGAAATAGAACAGGGCAAGACTATTAAACAGAAATCTAAAACAAAGCATAATGACTCAGTAAGGACAGAACAAGAGTTATCAGGCCAGTTGAAAAGTGATAGAAAAAAAGACTCCTCAAAAAGACACAAAAGAAGTGGAAAATTACAGTTTCATGAGATCACCTTCCACTCCAGTAATAAAGTGACAAAACCTTCTCAGGAGAAACTACAGAAGAAACACATGACACCAAACTCGCACCTAGTACAAGCAAAGGGGGTGGGTTTGACAAATAAAAATAAAGAGCCACACAGGAAGACAACAGGTTCTCTGGCACAGCAAGTGTCACCAGAGGACAGGACATTGAAGGTGAAAGCTGGTGGCTCCAGCCAAAAACGGGAAAAAAGGAAGTTAGATGAGGATAGTGTACTTGATTCAGTGATAAAAAAGAAGAAATATGAACATGAGCAGAGTAAAAATGTGACAGATGGCACAGTGAAATGTCATCCTTTGCCCATCTCCAGCGAGAGAGCCAGCGTTAAAGAGAAGACAGTTTCGAAAGTTAAGACTTCAAGCTCTACGGAGAGTTCTTCTAAAATGAGTAGGCTTGTAACAGCAGAATGTATCCAAAGGCAAAAGCATAAAGAAGCAATGGGTGTGAAAGTATCAAAGAAAAAGTATGTGAAAAGTAGGTCTCGTGATTATCAAATCATGAGGTCCAGTAAGCTCGCTTTGCGAGTAGGGAGCTGTGGGAAGTCGAGCATGAGGCACAGCAGCAGCGGCGGTGGGCAGACCTCTAAAGAAGTGTCAAATGTTTGCACCAGCCTTAGCAAAAACCTCAAAATCCACCATTCTGAGGAATCTAAAACACACATTTCAAAAAGTATTAAAGGAGCAGTTGGTGGGAAGCCGTCTGATAAAATGTGGAAAGATAAAACCAAAGTAGACAAAAGCGCCAGCTGCGTGAATAGTGAAGGTGCTTTAGGCCAGATGTCTTCCCATGCAAAGGATCAACGGAAGCGGTACCTGAACAGAGTCGCTTTTAAGTGCACCGAAAGGGAAAGCATCTGTCTCACAAAATTGGACAGTTCACCCAGGAAACTTGGGAGAGATAAAGAGAGACCAGAAAGTAAACCTAAGAGCTTTTTGCCTGGGAAAGAGACCTCGGATAGTCGCAGCATGCTGGAGTTTAAGCTGTGCCCGGACAGCATGATGAAGAATGCGAGCTCTGCAGAAGACCAGAAAGACCTGAAACCTTGTCCCAGGAAGGAGCAGGCGCCCTTGCAAGGTGCAGTATGGGTGTTTTAATGGTGTCCCTGGTGCCTCTTGGGTGGCACCGCAGCCATTTGGGTAGCTGGGAACCATGTGACTGCATCTCGCACACTAAGGTGACATTGTACCAAGAAGCCCACACTGGAGGAAAGAATTGGTGCTGAGTTAGAGAAAGTTTCACGTATATGTGAACGGCCTGCTGTTCTATTCCCATAATTTTGAAGCCCCGTGGTATATGGGAAATTTGGGTCTGAATATAAGGAGATATGTAACTGGTTAGTGAAACCTTTTTATACTTAGGGAAATGGTTTGGCTTGTTAAATCTGTTACCACGAGGTTCTGGTGGTGACCTAGTCTGCTCATGATGTGGGACAGCTGGCCAGTGTAGAGTCCCTGAGCCCAGATGGCAAACATGGTGGTCAGTTAGTTGAGGGAATGAGTGTAGTGCAGGAAGGAGAGGGGATGGATAGCTAAGTATCTGTGCCCTAAGGAAACACGGATTGTGGCTTTGCATATTAGCCATTATGCTAAGAAGCCCAGAAAACTAAAGAAATTGAATGGGAAATACCGCTCCTGTGCTTTCCGTTTCATCTGTTGGGGTACCTGAACCTGCAGTACCACATGGGCAAATATAAACAGCATTAAAATGTTTGTAAAGTCTTGGTGAATTCTCTTGGTCCTTTTTTTTTTTTTTTTTTTTTTGTATTTTTTTTAAAATTTTACTTATGCAAGCACTGGGTACAGTCAGAAGCGCGGGAGGGTGAGAGAATTCACCAGAGCCAGAGCGGGGAGCAGAGCAGGCAGAAGGACCGAAGTACACCGCTGAGGGGAGCAGCGGGCGGCAGGAGAGGTCCGTGCGCCAGCAGGACCCCCCTCCGGTGGCCGGGGAGTAGCAGGGGATTGAATCGGCGCCGCAGAGGCTGCGGGCGGCTTCACAACCCAGCGCTCAACCGCTGCGCCACATAGGAGGCCCTCCTCTGGTCCTTAGCTGGATTCTTCAAATCTGATCTGAAGTGTAGAGGCGTGTGGGTAACAACGAGGTGATAAAGGTGGGGGGCATCTCCATCTCAGCCCCTAGCACCCCCATAAATTATGTTCCACCCAAATGGGGGAAACAACTAATTGCATAGTGAAGGGAATCCTTAAATATAGCTTATTTTTCAAATTGTGTGCTATTCAGGCGCTTCAAAGCGTTTTTCCAGCCCCTTTTAGTTATGTGTGAATAGTGCTAATGTTTTCTAAGGTTTATCTTAGGCTGATAGGATTTTCCTTCATAATAGTACTAAAGAAATGTGTAGCAATATCTAGAGATCTGAAAATGAATATTTACATAGTTTCAGGAATAAAAAGTACAAAAGAAGACTGGTTAAAATGTGTAACTGAGGAGAAAAGGATGCCGGAAGCCACCGAAGACTTAGGTAAAACCATCTATTTAAGTTTTTATCTTACTCATGTGGCGCTCTGTCATAAGCTTTGTTCTGTTCTGAACCAAGGTGAAGTCCAGGTTAACCCTTGTATGTTTTTTAATGATTTGGTGTTTGTGTCTGAGTGCTGGGCTTCCCATCTCCTCAGTCACGCTGTGGAGGGGAAGCACGGGTCTATTTCTTTTCAAAAAATATCACAGTGGAGTAGTTTAGGGAGTCACGTGGCTTTTGTTTGTCGGTCTAGACAGCATGCACTAGACTTTGCAGGTGATAAGGACTCTTAATCTCTCAGCCCTGGAATTGAGGTGAGATGTGGCCACACACTAACGAATGAATGTGGACTGTGTTTTAAGGGCGCTTGGCTGAGACTGGCTACAGGCTAGGCTTGACCTACAAGCCACACTCGGTGCCAACCCCGACTTTGGGTGATTTGTAGGTTAATTCATGTTATTATCAAAACAGAGTAGAGAAGCATGTTCCCACCTTATCAGTGAGTATTGAGATTATTGAAAAAAGTGACTTGACTGGAGGATGAATAGGTTCTTGAACCTAGTCCCCTCTCTTCAAAGTTCACTGGAAGTTGAATTATTTTAATGATGAGAGGCAGGTGTTTCGAGTAAATTGCTTCTTGTAGGTGTGGGATTTGGGCTGAGAGTCCAACTAGAAAATCTAGAGCTTTCAGTATCTGATTTAATTCATGGAATGAATGTATTTTGCTTTGAGGCCTAGAGTTTTAACCTTAGTTTTGGTTGCATGAACCTGCAAAGTCGAGGGTTTACAGTTGGTGTGGAAATGAAGAGGAGCTTATTTTTAAAAGAGGAAGTATGACAAGAGTTGAGGGCTTTAGACATGCACATAAGCGGGTGGGAAGAAGCTGACTCTTGTGCTCTGAAGGTGCAGGTAGGAGAAAATTTAGGTTGAATGAAAGGAAGAGGAAATGCACTCTAAATCAGTGGGGAATGAGTTAGAGATTTAAAGATAGAAAAACCACTTCTGATGTTGACACAGGAAGGCAAAAAAAGAGGTGAGATGGGCCTGGAGATTGGTCCTCACAACAGGAGAGAGACCGATCACTTCGTGAAGGCGTTGAGATATGTTTGGAGTCTGGAGCTGAACATACTCAGAAGACCCTTCACAGCTAGAGGCTCAGAGGTAGCCAGAGCAGCAGCAGAAACAAAACCAGGGCAGAGAGCGCAATGAGACCCCAGTGGGGGAAAGAAGAGCACAGAAGCAGGCTGTGGAATCTGTTCTCAGTCGGTTTAGGTAGAAGAGGATGGAAAGCAGCAGAGAGACAGCCCTACCCCAGTCGTCAGCAGTGTTGAGGATGGAGAAGAACTGAGGTGGCCCAGGCAGGAAATGGTGAAACCACACTGCCACCTGGGTGGGAGTGGCTAGAGGAGGCATGAGGTGTGGGTGTTCTGAACAATTGCTGAGGTAGTGGCGCATCTAGAAACCGGAGCAAGAAAGCTGGACCTAGCAAAGGCGGAGAGTGAGGAGATTGCAACAGCCAGTGCCTAAGGAAGCCCCCTTAGCATGCCCAGCGACCAGCATGCTAAAAGCACCCACCTGCTCACTGGAATGCTGCAGCTGCTGTCTCTCTACTGCTGGTTCAGAGAAATACTACGAAACTCACATTGGTGAGTTTGCAGTGGTTGGAGGTTTTGTTGAGAGTAGATGCAGGAGGAGCAGATCAGCCCTGGGCAGTGAAGACAAGGACAAGAGTAGAAAACAGGCACCAGAGCAGGACATCCCAAGGGTGTGGGCATAGTTCTAGAGGGAAAGCCCTAGGTGGTGGGCAGGCAGCACCAAGACCTGGTATCTGTTCCAGAGAAGAAGGCATGTTCCCTCATTTTGGTTGATTGTGTGTTGATTGGTCATTCTGTCAAACACTGAAGTCAGTGTTTCTGTCTCCTTAGACAAGAATGTTTTTAGGGTTAACTTTTGCTCTGTTTACTCCAGAGAAGGACGCATGTGTCCCGCTCATTTTGCCTGATGATGTATTGGTCGCTCGCCAGAAGGGTAATAAAGTCAATAACATTTCTGTTTCCTTAGACAATAATATTTTGACTAATTCAAGACTCTCCAAAAGAAGCTTCAGTGCAGATGGCTTTGACACAGGACAAAATCCAGTAAAGGATTCAAAAGCAATGTTTCAAACCTACAAAAAGATGTACATGGAGAAGAGAAGCAGAAGCCTTGGTAGCAGTCCCTTAAAATAATTTTGAGACTTTAGTTCATCTGCTCATTCTGGAATCGCCCCCAGAAAATTTCTGGCATTTTCCCCTTCAGACTACTTACCTGGGAACACTAAAGAGTTTGGCTACCACTTGGGTTGTGTATATCATTGAAATTATTTAATTATGATGTCGTGAGAATCTTATTTGTGAGTAGAAAATGTAAGACATGAATGCTATTTGTCAGAGACACTGTAAGGTGTTGAATTTCATCATGACTGACGCAGTTTGTCATCATTTAAAGGGAATTTTTTATCTTAAGTCTTATTTTGAAATGTTAACTGTATCCTGAGGGAGCCTCTCTTTGGGATAAAGGCCATTTATTTTAGCCGGGACTGTAAATGTATTTTTATTTCTAAAAGTTATCAGCAAAACTTATTTTTCAAAATGCTCACTGTGAATGTCAAAGAATATTCTTAAGTATTTTGTACATGTAAACTTTTTGTCAGAAGTCTTGTTTTATACTTGCTATGCTGAACACAATTTTGGGATAATGTTTAAGCATTACTTTTCATACTTGAAATAAACATTTATTTTTTACAAAAAAGTATGAAATCATACTGGTGTGATTTGTGCTTGATTTCCTACCCTTACAACACTGACACTATTTAGGAAGCTATTTTTCAAAGAAGAAATGTTAGGCTGTTACAAGTGAACAAGTTACTGTTACAAGTAACTTGTCTGTTACAAGTGCAACATTTTCAGGTTGCATTCAGGAGAACAAATACCTTACTAGGGTTTAGGAAATTGTAGGAAAGCACAGAAGATAAGATATAATCCTTAAAATGTGTCATTCCTCTTGTTTTAAGAGCTACGTGCCTGTTTAATGGATGTAGTTTAAATTTTGCTATTGTGAATATCAACATAGACTGAGCTGTACATGTCAAAGTCTGTATGATGGTAACTCCTGTGTTTTGTGACATCACAAGTAAAATGCATTCTGAAGAATTCAGAAGATGGCTTCTCAAAAAATGTGGCCTCTCCTTCTGTGGGAAAAGTAGCTCTGCTCGTCTGGAGTGTTGGGATGATTTCATGTCAGGATTCAGTGATCAGTGAGGTCATAAGCACCAAAGCAGTAGTCTAGGCAGAGTCCAGACTCTCAGTCCTCGTGACACCAGTCATGGAGGTCTTCATTACAGGAAACTCTTACAATTAAACATGAACTTGAATGTTTTTGATGAAGCAGAATAAGTTATTTTTTAAGTATCATTTCAGGACTGAGTCTTTTAAGTTTTCTAAGTGATGAAATAGGAAGCACATGTGAAGAACTGCCTCATGCATTCCAGAAGAATCTGAAGCAGAGACAGAGCCTAGTTGCTTTAATGGGTTGTCAAGGAATAACATAATTGACTTCTGAACTAGTCCCATTACTTGATAGAATGTCAACATTTATTTTTCTCAAATTACTTGGCAGTTCAAGGAAATAAATTTGCCGCCAATCATGTTTCAGCTTTACAAGAAAAAATGAGAATTTTGGAATGTTTGAATCGAGATCCCGAATTTGATGTCCTACTACCTGGACATTCAATTTGATGGGACTATTCCAACTATCAGTTTAGATATGTACTGCTTGTGTTAGCATTTGGAAGATATGCATAACTTAGTGAAACAGTAGTTTCTGATGACCAGTGCATGCTGAATAGATCTATTTAGAACACCAGGTATATCAACCGAGTTTAGAATAAGCCAAAAGTGCCTTGTTTTAGCTTTCATACTGCAACCAACCTTTTCTGTACAGTGTCAAAGAAGAATGCATGATTATCTGAAAAGACTGTAAACATTTTTCCTTTACCATGTTAAAAGCTGTCTATCCAAGATCAGATTCCTTCATGTACTTCAAGATGGTGGAGCTCAACATCAGATGGATGTATAAGTAAATTGTGTTCAACTGTTCATTGAAAGATGCAAATTGCAAAACAATGTTAGACTCAATTTTTTGTTTTGATAAATTATTTTTCATAAGATGTTATATAACCATGAAATTGGTTTATTTTTGTATAAAAAAACTGAATTTTTCTTCAATTTCCATACAATAAAAACTGACACTGGGGGCCTCCCTGATGGTACAAGGGGTTAGTCTCAGTACTATGAAGCTATCAGCAGCCACTGCAGCACGAGTTTGATCCCTGGCCAGGGAGCTGATCCACATGGTGAAGCTGATCTCCTGTCTCACCAATTGCTTCCCTCAACAGTGAATTTCAGTCAATCCATATGTTCTGCTCCCATTCTGTCTCTGGTGAATCCTCTCACCTCCCCACCCCCTGCACCTCTGGCCTACACCCCAGCTCTGTATACATAAATAAATAAATCTTTAAAAAAAAAACCAACCTGACACTCCTGATTACTCAGTGGATTACAATGATGATGTAGGAACAGGACAATTAAGATATATTTGTTAAGTCTTGCTTCACTGCTGCAAGAATAAGTTGTACAAGGCATTTCATAGAAGATTTACATGATCTGAAGAGTATCATACAAGGCACTTTGAATTGCATATAAGTAAATATTGAATTGACTCAGTCTAACTTCCAATAGTCACTATATTCACTTTGCTTGTGACACATGTTAGACAAGAACCATTTAGGCACCAGTGGATATTTGGTGACATTAACTTCAAATACAAGATTTTTTTTTTTTTTTGGCTATTGAAATTGTACAAAGGTTTTCAGACTCTAAAAAGTGTTTGTGACTTAGGGCAGCAATTGAATTCCTTCATGCATACGTAATGAAGACAAGCCCCTCAGTGAAAGGTCAATGAAGATCCAGGAAGAAGGTCACTGAAAACAGCAACACACGAGTGAAAAAATCAAAGATGAAATTAGACTTCTGAAGAATTGATTACAGACAAAGCAATGATAAATTAAGTCCCGAGAAAAAAATACAGCAACAGATCCACCTGTATGGTTACATGTATATGGCGTGTTACATACATCTTATTTCATGAAATTAAATCTGCAAGCATTAAATAGGTTTGAAGATTTTTGGAGAGCGCAGTGCTATTATAGAAGCTGCAAAGATTAAAGCAAGTTCTTAAGAACTACAGTCTAGAAAAGATGAGAAAAAGCAAGTGTGCAAATACTCAAATACTGCAGGAGATCGAAGGAGAGATCGTCAACAATTACTTTAAATGTTTTCTTACTGACTTTCCAAAGTCCTGTTACCTTACACAGCCAGGTCAATGCTGCCAGGTCAGTGCCTTCCATCTATCTCTATGAAGTGGTCAACTAATTCTACTGACCTTACTAATTCTTGAGATACTGAAGAGCCCGACAGTAGAAGCACAGATACTGTTAACTTTGTTGCCACAATCTACATGTCAAAAGGAAGACCTTCAGAATTGGTTTTTTGGTGACTTCAGATAGTAAAAGTGAATCTTGCTCTATTCAGGGTTCGCTGGTGTTATGTTTAGACTGCAGAGGATAGCACTTCAATTGTATTCTTAATTGAAGAATAATATATCCAAACAGCACAAGAACCACTAAGACCCAGCAGACCTCCAAGACAGCTAAGGAAGCTTAGAACTGAATGGTAGGTTCTTTACTTCAGAAGCAGTATGTCCAAAAGGAATTAGTGCATCTTTAAAAAAGCATTTCTGGAAAAGGTTGAGTGATAGATGCTAATAGCAGTTTTTAATACTGTTAGGGAAAGTTTTATTGAGGTAAGTTTATAACATTTCCAATTTGCATCATCATCATTATTTTTACCACTATGTCAAAATACATCCTTCAGGGCTTCCCTGGTGGTACTAGGGGTTAAGCACTGCACTGTGAAGCAATCTGCAGCCTCTGCAGCATGAGTTCGATCCCTGGCCGGCCAGGGAGCAACCCACATGGTGCAGCAGACCTCTCCTGACTCGCCCGCTGCTTCCCTCAGCAGTGTACCTAAGTCAATCTGCCTGTTCTGCTCCCCACTCTCTCTCTGGTGAATCCTCTCACCCCCTGCATCTCTGGCCTGTACCCCAGCTCTTGTATGCACAAATAAATCTTTAAAAAACAATACATCCTTCATAAAATTGACCCTTCTTAATCTAATAAACTTGGACTCTCTGATGACCATTAATTAGGTCTTAGAGTCTGAAAGTTTATTTTACTTCATTTATGTACTTTCACATGAGTGAAAGTATATTATGTTTGTCTTTCCCCATCTGACTTAACCAAGCACAATACCCTCTACATTCATCTGATTTGACTTAGAGTTTTTGGTATTTTCGGGTAAATACCAAGAAGTGGAATAACTGAATCGTGGGAGTTCTATTTTTAAGTTTTGAAGACCCTCCATACTGTTTTCCATAATAGCTGCACCAATTGACATTCCCACCAGCAGTGTATGAGGAGTACCCCCTTTCTCCACAACCTCTTCAGCATTCACTTGTTATAATAGCCATTCTCATAGGTGTGAGGTGATAACTGAAAACTCAAGAAGTCGTGGGAAGAAATTGTTGCTGAGGAAGCAAATATTCTGTTTACATGGATTGGAAGAATTGTTAAAATGGCCCAGTTACATAAAGTAAAACGCAGACTCAGTGCAATCCCTATCAAAACCCCAGTGAAATTTTTTTTGAAGGTTTATTTATACATACAAGAGCTGGGGTGTAGGCCAGAGGTGCGGTGGTGGGGCAGCGGGGCGGGGGGGCCGGCGGGGAGGCGGAATGTGTGTGGAGAGGATTCACCAGGATACAGTGGATAGCAGAACAGGCAGAATGGCAGAAATACACTGCTGAGGGGAGCAGTAGGCGAGACAGGAGAGGTATGCTCCATATGGCCGGGGATCGAACTCATGCTGCAGTGACTGCTGATGGCTTCATGGTGCTGAGACTTAACCCCTTGCGCTACCAGGGACCCTCCCCACCCCCCAGCCAGTGACATTCTTTACAGAAATAGAACAAAAAAAAAAAAATTGGAACTATGAAAGATCCTGAATAGCAAAAACAATCCTGGGAGGGAGGCGGGGGGAAATGGAGGTATGATATCTGCTCCCCAACAAATCCAACTACAAAGCAGTAGAAATCCAAACAACTATTATTAGAATAGGAAAGAGATACTGATCAATGGAACAGAATGGAGAGGCCAGAAATAAACCCATACATGGCTAACATGTACGACAAAGGAACCAAGAGAGCATGTGGTGGGACAAGGAAACTCTTCAATAAATGGTATTGGAAAAATTGGGCGGCCACATGCAAAAGAATGAAACTAGACCACTATCTCACACCACATAGAAAGATTAGTTCAAAAGTGGATTAAATACTTAGCATGTAGGACCTGAAACTGTAAGATACGTAGAAGAAAACAAATGATAAACTCCTTGACATTGGCCTTACATGCGTGGGGATTTGTCTCCAGTGGCAAGGTAAATAAAAGCAAAAGTAAACAAGTGGAGCTATATCAAAGATGCTTTGGCGCAATGAAAAAAATTATCTTCAAAATGAAAATATGTCCTACAGAATGGGAGGTGATATTTGTGAGTCTAGAAGAGACTAAGGGATTATGAAGAAATTATTAAACTCAACAAATTTTAAAAGTGGGTAGAGAACCTGAATAGTCATTTCCAAAGAAGACATGCAGAT